GGAAAACATTTCTACCACAGATTCAGAAATGCATACGTGCTTTTTTTCCTTTGCTCTAGGGAAAAGGCTGGATAAATTAAAATTCAAAAATTAAATGTATCATTTATCTTGTAAACTTTGAACTTACAGTATTCCTGAGAGAAAAATACTTTGTGGGCATCATTAAATATTAATCACTAGATATCAGTTTAGCAAAGAAATTTAGTCAAGTTGGAACAGCTTTTAAGAAACCAATTATAATGTGGATTATGAAAGAGAAGTGGGAGAAACCCAGGGAAAATATTAGGAAATGCAGGTTTCTTCAATAGAAGTTTTCAGAGAATTCTGGCTATCCAGCTTGTTGAGACTTAGACTACATAAAAATAGATACTTGTGCTAAAGATGTTTGAATTGGTTTGGAGGGAAAAAAAAAAGCAAAAGTTGATATGATCAAAATTGCAGTCAATCAAAAAATGTGCAATGAATCTTCCTTTTCAATACATAAAATTTCCTTTTAATCCTTATTTAATTCAACAGTGGGTAGGAATTAAACATTTTATGATCAATTTGCAAAATTCACATATATAGTAATTCTATAGATAAAATATCAATACTGAATTGGAGATATGAATGTATTTTTTCATGTGCTAGTCTACTGATTGTTCAAAGGGATTATGAGATGTTTTTCTTTCAGTATTAATTCCATAGGTTCTATTTAAGATAATATGGAAGTCTAATAATTCTTTCAAGTTATAAAATGTTAGATCTCAAAGAAATATCATTAAATTCCCTCATTTTCTATGTATGAAAAAAAATATGTGAGTGGTTGAATGATGCATAAATCAACTATTATAAAGGGAAGGAGTAAGAGTCCTACATGTACATTCATCTGTTGTCAGAGCATCAAAATATATCAAGCAAAACATGATCTGACTGTAAAGACAATAGATAAATCCATTATTATGATTGGAAATTTTAACACTCTTTAAAGATATCAGTAGGCAAAACATCAATGGAGATAGAAAAGACTTAATACTATTAACTCCCTAGGCCTATCTGACATTTGCAGAATACCCCAACAGCTAATTACACATATTTGTCAAGTACACATTGAATATTCTCCAAGATAGACTACACTCATATAAAACAAATTTCAGTAACTGAGATGATTGAAATTATGCAAAATATGTTATTTACCCACAGTGGAATGAAACCAAAAATCAATAACAGAAATATATCTGGAAAATTCCCAAATATTCACAAATTAAGCAAAAGTCTTATATAATGCAACGATTGGTTAAGGGAGAAATCCAAAGGAAATTTAGAAATATTTAACTATATGAAAATAAAAACACTATCAAATTTTGTTATACCCACTAAAAAGTGCTTGGGGGAAATTTGCAATGTTAAATGTGTGTACTACAAAAGAAGAAAGGTCAACAATCTCAATTTCCTTCAAAGAAATAGAAAAGAGAGCATATTAAGTCCAAGTGTATAAAAATAAGGAAAGGATAAGCAACAAAAATTAATAAAATAAAAAGCAGATAGCAAAAATAAAGGAAAAGTGGAATCCTTGAAAAAAATTTGATGAAATTTAAACACCTGTAGCAGACCCATTAGAAAAAATATATACAAATGTCCAATATTAGGAGTGAAAGAAAAATACTTCCTAATGACATTAAAAGGATAATTAGAGGACTTTATGAATGACTTTACTCAGAAGCTTCATGTTTTAGATGAAATGTATATAAACAATCTTAAAAAGTTCTGTCCACTGTAGCCGACCTCTGGCCTTGTTTGGGGACCTTGACCTGCTACTTTGTTCTCCGTGACGCTGAGCTGGGGTGAACATGGATGAATGAAAAAGAGACACCAGTCTTAATACAGGGGCGGCCAAGAGGCTCTTGCCTCTTAGTAGGCCTCCACGATTGGCTCATCTTGCCTTATTTCACCCAAACACAGGCACCAGCAATCAAAGTAACATAAGATTCATCTGCTTTCCAATACCTGCTAGTATATTCTCTGGTTAACAACTTATCCTCAGCTCTCTTAACTTTTCCTTAGAACCTGCAAGATGCAATCACCCCAGAGTGCAGCCTTGCTTCTTTGTGCTCAGAGAAGGCCAATTAGGCCTCAAATTTCCTCTGGTCTCCTATAGTGCACTAATTATACTTCTAGAGATATGCATTAAATAATAAAATATGAAGAGGTTTTTGTACCAAGATGTGCATCAAATGATTACTTATAGAAAAAAACTAAAATCAACCTTGAATGTGTGAAAATAGGTTAGTATAATAAATATAGCACTGATGATGATGATTGTAGGGAAAATTCCCACATAGAATGTTATGTGAAAAAAATAGGAAGGGCTGGGGATGTAACTCAGTGATAGAGCATATGCTTAGTTGATGCCGTGTCCTCAGTGCAGTCCCCCAGGGAAAGGAGGAAGCGGGTGCAGGGGGAAGAATAGGAAAGAAAACTGTCAACAAATGATGATCTCAATGTAAAAAGATATTTATAAATAAGAAATAGAAAAATGTACCTTAAATTAGGTTAATGAAGTATTTTTAATTTGTTGGATCATTTATCTTCTTAATGTTTTCAGGTATTTTCCAGACTCAGTAGGAATGAAATTGTCAGTGCCATATTTTAACCGTTCTTATACCAAGAAGCTCGTTTTATCACTAAAAATATAGATTGCTGTTTTTCTGTGAAAAGAAGGATATAACCTACTTTTTGATGTTTTAAAATTTAAAATCATTTTCTTGGAGAGAATGAATAGCATTTAAATAGACTTTTATCCTTCCTCTAGTAGGCACATTTGGAGGCTACCTTTATGCTATCTATTCCAGCGCGATGCCCAAATCTACATCTCTACTCTGGTTGTTCACTGTCATTCTCAGTTCAGGTGTCAGTGAGAAAAATGTGTGTTTCTTTTCTTTTACTGGCCCTTAATCACTAAAAATCTTTTAGTAGGAAACCATTCACACTTTCTTTTTCAAGCTTCAAATCTAAACCATGATTCAATGGGGTTTCTAGGATTCATTGAGGCTCCAACCTCCTTTCCATCTCTGCATTTTCCCACCCCACCTAGCCCTTTAATATTTCACATCTGAGCCACAGTTGATATCTAGCTCACCTGACTCGAAGATTCCCATGTCAGCTGATTCATAGTTGCTGGAATAAGTTTGAAACAATGTATATCCTTTCCTTTCCAGAAATCCTATGCTAAATAGCTCCCAAATTGTAATGAAATTCCCATAATGGGCTAGAATTTAAAAACTCACTTGGTTAAAAACCTCAGTGCCTTCATCTTAAATAGACCTAAACTATCTTTTAATACATAAACATTAAGATCTTGAGCTATGTGAGGATTGTATACATGCTTTTTGCTCAGTTGGCCTTGTCTATGTATAACCTTTTCCTTTCTGGCCATTCTTTGCAGTTACATACAATGTATGTGTCATAAATAAATATAATGTTGGTACTTGGTACAGAGAATGACAACTAATTCATCAGATAACATATTACCACCACCTTACTATTCATGGGGGCCATGTTTTGAGAAATCTTTGAGTCCACCCAGCTCTCTGTTATTTCATGTAGAATCTTTGGCAGCCTTCTTAATCTCTCCCTTCAGACCCCATAGTAGTCCTTGTCAGTCTTTAACTGATAATCCTACCTCAACATTTGAATTGAAAAGTGTAAATCAGAGCTTATCATTCTTTGCAAAAGCCTTGGTTGCCTTCTGATTGTCTTTAGAAAAAAAAAAAGAAATCCTAAACATGAACTTTACCCACTTCACAAAACCCCAGCTTCCAGGCTCAGTACACCTGAACCCTGACTCCTTCCTTCAGTTTTTGAAAACAGCAAACATTCTCTCCTCAGCCCTTACATAAGGCTGAACAGGTTCCCCACTCCACTGTCTGTTTTCCCACTTGCCACCCGTAAGTTGTCACCCGGCTAATTCATTGGATCACCCTCAGCATTCAAATATTGCTTTTCCAAGGGGGTCTTGGAACTCCCATCTAAATTTAGTTCTTGTTATTTGCTATTCTTACAGCAGTTATGATAGGTTTTAATAGTATCATTTTGGAATAATATATTTGTTTAATGCCTTTCTCCCTTATAAGCCTGGAAAATTTCTTGAGTATCCCGAGGTCTTGTTTATTCTTTGCTCAGCACATAGAAGGTGCTCAATAAATTATTGTGAACAAAAAATTATAATAAATAATTATAAAACATTCATGACAAAAGACTGCAGTTTTACTGTTTCTTAAATTGCCTGTTTTTAATCTGTTAATTGATAATATTAAAGTTGTAATCCTCGCTTTCAGATAAGATTTGGAAAGAAAGAGGTATTCATACATGTATGAGGAGAGATATTTTACATAGTCATTTTTGTTTATTAAATATTTGTGGACTGGGCCAGAGGATTAATAATCATTATAGAAGGCTGTCTAGCTAAATGTGTTTAAAAACATCAGGTTGTTTTTATTGACTCAGTATTTCCATGTAAGAATTTGTCATAAGGAATAGGCCTAAATATGGGAAAGGTTATGTATTTAAAGATATTTCTCACATTGTTATTTATAGTAGTAAAACACTGGAAATAACCTAAATGCCAAGTAAAATAACGGCTGAGTAAAGCATAGTGTATCAACTGGATAGTATGATGAGTAACCCTTAAGCTGAAGGTTAAGATTTCATAATGATTTCTGAACTATTTATAATATAAATGTAAGGAGCAAAGTTTTAAGACCATGTTTATAAATTCTATTCAAAGGGGAAAAAAACTGGAAAGAAATATGTCATTCTTCCATAGAAATGAGAGATTTCTTTTTTTTAAAATATATTTTCTCTAACATGCACATATTAAATAAGGATTTTAATTGTAATAAGTTGTGCAAATATAACATAGTTTGCATGTTAAAGCTCAGGTTCACCTTCAGTACATTTGAATGAGTCTTGGTCTTTACGATTTGTAAGGATTGCACTGAAATGTATACTGTCTTTTTTAGGGTGACAAAACCTTTGCTGAAGGTTCCCACACTCGTGGGTTAAATCACTCATCCTCTTGGCAGGATCACGGTCGCTTCCAGTCTAGTCCACGGTTTTCATACGTGAACTGTAAGTAATAAAGTCCTGTACCAGTTCTTAAATTCAGTGTAAGGAAATGCATTTCATGAAAAAAATTAAGGCCAATACATTTTAGTAATATTAAAAGTTTGTGTGTTAAAAGGTGAGAATATTTTCATTATGAATCATAAAACTAATCCCCACCTCTGAGTACATTTATAATATTACCTGAGATTCTTGAAAAAATATATACATGAGATTCCTTCTAAAGCCTTATATTTCTCAAGAAAACTTAGATTACTATGGGTAAAAATGTTAAGCAAAACTGGTATTTGGAGATTACTAATAATATGGATGAATAGGTAAAGAAAGTAATTTTTTAAAATTCAAATCATCAGTAAAAGAAAAATGTTTGCATATGCCTGTAAAAAAGCATGTAATCTTGTACAAAGCATAAGGATATTAGTACTAGTATCTGCTAGATTTTATTCTGTGAATACTTTGTGAATGTTGATAAAATATCATAAACATTAATGAGGTAAGAGGCCCTGGGCCCAGGATGCCATGGGCCATCATGTGTCCCCTCTCTTCCCTTTCTTGACTTCCTGATCCTCAAGATTCAGTGTGTATGTAATGTCTTTAAAGAAGGTGGGAATGATCTGACTCCGTTTCCTATTACCTGTCTGTTCTTTTTACTCTGGGCTTCTACTATAAGAGAAACCACACAATGTTTAAGCTTGTGGGTCTGATTTATTTAGTTTAGTACTGTGGTCTTAAGATGCATCCATTTTCCTACAGATGACTCACGTTTATCTTTCCTATGGCGAATGGTATAGAAATATCATGTTTTCTTTATCTATTCATCTGTTGATGGACATATAAGCCATCGCCAAGATTTAGCTATTATGAATTGTGGAAGAAGATCAAGAAACAGAGTGGGGGGTGGGGAAACAAGGGATGAAAAATGTTATTGGGCTGTGTTGTGTACACAACTCCACACGAGGAATGTAAACACTATGTACTGCACATGTGTACTAGTAAACTAAAATAAAGAAGGTCGCTGAACTTACAGTTTTAAAGGTGGTTTCTTAGCAACCACTGTGTGCTACAATTTTCCTCAAAAATCTTTCTCAACATAATAATTTTAAAGTTGTTACTGTAGTGACTTTTTTGTTTACTGATTCTTTCCTTCCCCAAAGAATGAACTCAAGGAAGGCAAGAGCAATGCTGTTGTGTTCACCACTGTTCATTAGCACTCTAAATAGTACTGGGGCCATAGTAAAAGCCCAATTAATATTCCTTTATATTAGAGGAATAAATATATGAGTTGGCTTGTTTAGTTTGCTCTTCTCCTAAATTATTGGGATTTAAATATTATTTAATATATTCATACCTAAAGTTTAGTTTTTCAGTTTACTAGGAGCCTGGATGATTGTGCATTAAATATGATAATTCCATCCTATAAAATAGCTAAATTTCTAAAAAGTTAATATACCAGCTGGAAAGATAGCCTCTTTAATAAATGGTGTTGGAAAAACTGGATGTCAACCTGCCACAGATTAAAATTAGACCCTTATCTTTCGCCATGCACTAAATTAAAATCCAAATGGATTAAAGATCTAAATATTAAAACAGAAACATTAAACTTGCTGGAAGGTAAGTTAGGCAGAACTCTGGAAGACATTGGTATAGGAAAAGACTTTATGAACAAATCCTCAGCAGCACGGGAACTAGCAGAAAGAATCAACAACTGGGATCTCATCTTACTAAAAAGCTTCTGTACTTCAAAAGAAACCATTAGCAGAACTAAGAGACAATCTACAATGTGGGAAAAAATTTTTACCAGCTGTACCTCAGACAAAGGACTATTATCAAGGATATATAAAGAACTCAAAACAATCAGTCCCCCCAAATATAAAGACCCGATTCAAAAATGGGCATCCGAAATGAACAGACATTTCTCAGACAAAGAAGTAAAAGCAGCAAGAAAATATTTGAAAAAATGCTCCACATCACTGGTCACTCGAGAGATGCAGATGAAAACAACACTGAGATTCCACGTCACCCCAAAAAGAATGGCTGCTATCAAGAAATCACACAATAACAAATGTTGGCGGGGTTGTGGGGAGAAAGGAACCCTTCTCCATTGTTGGTGGGAGTGCAGACTAGTGCAACCACTATGGAAATCAATATGGAGATACCTCAAAGAGCTTGGACTGGAGGGTCCATTTGACCCAGCCATCCCTCTGCTGGGTATCTTTCCAAGAGAACTAAAGGAATCATATCACAGAGAAGTATGTGCACCCATGTTTATAGCGGCACAGTTTGTAATAGCTAAATCTTGGAAACAGCCTGTTTGCCCATCCGTTGGAAACTGGATAAAGAAGATGTGGTTTTTCTATAAAATGGAATATTACTCAGCCATAAAGAATGAGAAAATAGATTCATTCATAGGAAAATGGATACATATTGAAGATATACTCCTAAGTGAAATAAAGAAGTCACACATGTGTAAATACCGAATAGTGTCCCTGGTGTGAATAATCTGCAACAATGCATAAGATTCTAATAAGATTACTGACATTTAGAAATGGGAAGAAAGGAGCTAAAGGTGTAGGGAAGGTGGGATGGGTAGGGGAAGAGTAAAAAGGGAAAAGAAAAAAATGTGAGAGAATGAAAGGATGAAAATAAAGTGTCTGTAGATGGGGAGGGGAGTAGGGGGTGAAGGGAGGGCAGAGGTAAGGGGAAAAAATGAGAATCAAGACTTGTCATGTAGAGGTACAAGATCCCAACAATGAATGTAACTGTACTGCATCCCTAAAATGTACCAATAAACTCAATTAAAGCTGAAAAAAAAAGTTAATATACCAAAATAAGTTCTAAGGAAGTTCAAAGTTGGTAACTCTCATTTTTGCTGATTTATAGTCATAGATGCATTGAATTATATATTTATCAGTTTCTGATGAATGGTTTGATTTTCATTACATCATGATCATTTTATTCTAAAAGCCAAATACTTTCTCTTTCCTGTCTTAATCATTTTTCCAAGTGATTTTGTATCTGCATAAAACCTTTTTTTCTATTATAATCTGATAGCAACTGTTCAATATGAATTACGTCTCAAGTGGAATTTGGCCCATTGCAATCTGAAGTATTTATATCCCAATCTGAAGATATGGAAAAATTACCCCAGAAGTGGAGGGTAGGAACTAAGCACCCTCAGAACATCAGAAAATCCCATCCATTAAGATAGTCAAAAGCCTGGAGATTAACAATTCTGTGATCTGAGATGGGAAATCATTGTTCTGCTGCTACTTCCTTTTGCTTTTATGACTTTCACGAGCCTTCCTAAAAAGACATCTAGAAGCCGGGCATGGTGGCGCAGGCCTGTAATCCCAGCACTTGGGAGGCTGAAGCAGGAGGATTGCTGTGAGTTTGAGACCAGCCTGAGCTACATAGTGAGTTCCAGGTCAGTCTCAACTACATAGTGAGACTCTGTCTCAAAAAAACAAAAAGGGCATCTAGAAAGAAGTGTTTAGAGATCATTAAGTGGAAAACATCAAGATTTATTAATAACAGTTAATGAAAGAAACTGTATTCAGTTTTCTACTCTACCATTTCTGACCAGCGTTGGGTCATTTCTCTAACTAAGATGTATTTGTCATAGGCAGCCTACATATCTACATAAATGTGCTGGTTCAAAAGGAAGTAAAGCTATATAACAATAGGAAAAATATCATTGATAATATAATTTGAATGAGAAAATACTAGTTACTGTAAAATGACTGATAACTTAGCTTAAAATTAGCTTTATCAATTTAATAAATCACCTAATTTATGAATTCAGCCTCTTGTTTTATTGTTAACAAATTTGTTTTACAATTTTCCTCCCGTCCCCATATTTTAAAGAATACTTTTCAAAATTTGATTACAACTTCTTCATCATTAATCATTAACTAATTGAATTAAACTTACATGTAGAAATAATTTATTTGCCTTTCTAAAGGACGTTGAATTTTCTGTTTTTAATAATGTGGAATATTAAATGTGGAAAAAATTAGGACTACTCAAAATACTTCTCCATTTTTCTAGCACAAATAAATTCAGCTTTTAGAAATTGTCCTTTAATCTTCCTTTAAATCTCCAAAATTAAAATGAAATGTCAAGACCAAGAAAGAGAAAACTGGAACCTACAGCAAATAGATTATACAAAATACAGTGTAAGTCACCTTGAAGAGATGAGAAAAAGTATTAGGTCCATTAAAAACAAGAGAAAAACACTATTAAAGAGGAACATAAGGGTAAGAGATCTACGAATCTTAGACTAGGATTGATACAGTGACAGAACAAAACTAGAAATGTGGAAAACAAAGTTAAGAAAACCACAAAGAAAGTAAAATGGAAAATGAGTAGGACAGTAGAAAAGATATTTAGGAAATCAGTTCATGGGGGACAATGGATGATTAATGAGAGATGTGAGAGAGCAAACAGCAGAAGGCAGTGAGTGGCCAGAACAGAAGAGTTCAGCCAAACAAGGGCCTGTTGCACAAATGTTATCCCATGATTATTCTGCTTTCTCTTCCTATGTTCATGCCCAAGTTTCCCAGATCCTGAGCTTTCCTCTTTCTTGATTCCCCCCTTTCTATTTCTATTCATCAAAATAAAAGATGGTAAAGATCTTTGGTTCCTGAAAATAAGTCTTCCATTTACTGCATTTTTTAGTTTACTTCATTTACATTGAAATTAGCTGGCTCTAAGATTCTAAGTTGTAAATGAATTAACTTTTGAGCCAATGTTGCTATTGAAAAACCACATCTATTTGACATCCACTATTTTTAAGTGATCTCAGCTCCCCCACTGGCAATCCTAGCATTCCCTTCTCCTGGCCCAGGAACTTTCAGGAACTTTTCTTCTTTAGCCAGTGTTGATATATGTCTTGTTTTGCTTTATTCAATTCTAGTTGCTTATCTGGATATGCATGTTTTTAAGTTCTCCTACAGTGAAGGAAGAAATATATTCCCATTGAGAAAATCTTTAGGAAGAAAAGAGAACTGAGAGATTATCTGATACTTGGAAATGGAACATGAAAGCTTGGTTTTGGTGGTTTGAGCTGCTTAGACCTGTCTAGGCCTTGAGGAGTAGATAGCCATAGACATTAGGCAGGCATGAGATCTGGTCCACAGAACAGGCACCTGCTCACTCAGGTTGGAGCTTGTAATGGGGGAGGCCCTTTTGTCTACACCCTACACACTGAGGAACTCGTTCTGCTGACTTAGGTGCCCTGTCAACGTGTAATCAAATGAAGGCACAGAATCACTGACCATGGAAAAAACAAAGGATATGGGAAACATACTGCATAATTTGTGGTCTCCGAAATGATCCAGTATTAATGAAAGTTTGCTTCAAAAAGTAATTTATATCAGCTTTGTGTAGTTCAAGTCAATTCATGAAAAGGTAGTTACCTTCTGCCAGGATGAAGGGAAGAAATGTATAAATTGTCAATTTATATTACCATTGGTAATAGGAACACAGAAATCCATTATTTAAAGCCATGATCACTACCAAATTTATCCTGGCTGGCTAAAAGTTATGGCCATGAGTCAGGACACTCTTTTAGAAGGACTTGAATTCCATTACCCAGCCTGTAGACAGTGGGGACTTAGTAAGAGAGACTCATAATGTCAGCTTTTGAAACTGTCATTTTTACTTTTTATAAGTACCGACTGACCACTAGTCTCCATGTATAGCTCCTTTTAGACTAAAGAAACACAACCCCTGGACAGGGCCTTCACTCTTGGGGCTGGGACCAGTCTAGACATGAGTGAGGTCTGTAGCAATCTGAGGACTCCTAGAAATCTCCAATTCTTTGAGACTGAAATGCTTCATCTCTGTGGAATTAGTGTTTTTAAACATGTAGATTGAAAATTTTCTGTAAATTTAAAACTGCTCTAAAAAGTAACAGTTACTAAAATGAATAAGTAAACCCAAAAGAAAGACCTGTGAGTTTTTCATGGAGCAAAAATGTTATCTAAGAATCATTGTAAGAGTTAGAAATGAATCATACATTTTAATTTAATATTCTTAGAAAAGCAAATCGGTGAAAGTTGCTTCAAAATTAACTTCTTGGGCTGGGAGATTAGCTCAGTGGTGCCACTGCCTTCCTTGCAAGCGCAAGGTCCCGAGTTTGATCCCAGTACAAAAACAAAAAGACAAACAAACAAACAAACAACCTTTACCTCAATTTACATTGCTATGAAAACAAAACTTAGCATTCTCATTTTGAGGTGCCATTGGTGACTGTTTAGTTCTTGGTCCACCTGGCTGTGAATGGACACTTCTTAACTAAGCTCTCCTCAGGCTTGTAGGCTAAAATGCCAATAATTTATATCAGTCAGCATATCAGAAGTATTGATAAGAAATTGTTTCTTATCCTAATGAATTGTTTATTTAATGAAAGCACTCCCCCACCCCTCTGTCACATTCTTTAGGCTCATCCATATGACTTTCAGGTGTTTTCCACTGACCATTTAAACATGAGATGTTTTTAAATAATTGAGTTCTGATTATTTGACAAGATCCTTTATAGATACTCTGATATACAACTAGATAATTTGCATTTGACTGTCTCTTACACGTCCTGTCAGTATTCATTTATGAAACCAGAATTTACTGGGAAGCTGTTTCCAAGGCTCTGTATTTGGTTCTGGAGGAGAAAGTAGTGAACAAGACAGACAAGGACACCTCATCTCATGGAGAAACAGGTAGTGAGTGAGCAAGCAAATGATTCAGAGTCTGGATCGGGAGCAGGAGCACTGTACACAGGGGATCAGGGGTGACTCGGAGGAGGCTGTGATAGAGCTGCAAGCAGCTGAGTAGGAATTGTATGGGAAGAGTCACCCGGATGTCTTGAGCAGAAATCTCAAAAGCCCAGAGAAGAAAGGGTCTGTGGAGAAATGGAACACCAATGAGAGAGAGACTGCAGCCACAATCAGATGTTTGGATTTTGTTTTGAGTTTTCTGGAAGGCGTGAAGGGGGGCAGGGGTCAAAAGATTATGCAGAACAGTGACATAATCTGATTGACTTTCTAGAGATATCATCTAGTTGGGTTGTGGGAAAATGATAGTAAGGGGGAAGATGGAAACAGGAAAATTGGAAATGCCGATCTCGACTGCGGTGATGATAATGGAAAAGGTGTGAAACAAAAGGCCTCAGGAGAAGGTAGGAGGTGCAATTAGCAGAACTCACTGTTAGACTGAATAGATGGAGCAAGCAGGACAGAGGAAAGAGAGGACCAAAGTTTGAGAACCTTAGCTAGGTGAGGTTTGGTGGCCCATGCTTATAATCCCAGCAGTCTGGTATGCTGAGGTAGGAGGATTGAAACTTTGCCTCCAGTCTGGGCAGCTTAGTGACTTAGCAAGACCTTGTCTCAAAAACCAAAAATAAAAGGAAAAATAAAACAAAATAAAAAGAACCAGAAGCTAGGTGTAGTGGTGCATACCTGTGAGGCAGGAGGGTCACCATGAGTTTAGTACCAGTCTAGGCTACATAGTGGGTTCAAGGCCAGCCTGAAACACTTAGACTCTATCTCAGGAAAGGGACAAAAGAAAAATTTTAAAAGTTAAAACAACAACAACTTTGGAGATGTTACTCATTGAAGCCCTGTTTCAATCCCCAGTACCACAAAAGAAAAAAGAGAAAAAGGATTTGAGAACCATATGGATGCGTATATAATTTTCTTAAATGGAAAATAGCAAGATATTAGCAGGTATCAAAGAGTAGAAATCAAGAGAGACAGTTTCATGTCAACAGTGGGAGATAGGCATCTGATGTTCAGAAGAGAAATAAGTAATAGAAAAACAGTAAAACCTAGCTTCCAGATCTGCTCTTTGTAGACAGGAGGATAAAACAAGGACTCCATTAAAAAGGAAGCCCTTAATGAATTTTCCCCTCTAAAATTCTCTGTGTGTGTGTTTATAGCATTGTATTCTGACAGATACACATTTTCCACTCTCAACTCTCAAATAAAGAAAGTTTTTACAATCTTGTGAATGTGTTTTTGAAAATATAGTAACTAATTATGTTACAAGTCTGTTAGTCCATATAAAGTTTTATGACAGAAAGCCTGATTGAATACCATGATTAATCAACTACCTTTTGCAAAATTAAGTTTTTGGCCCAGGTTTTACATTAATGTTCGTTGATTTTTCTCTTTCCTCTAACCTTGCCAGCATTCACCAAAAGAACCATTGCTCCACATCCAGCTTCAATCAAGGAAGATGCCACAAGTTTACCAATGAATGGAACAAGTCCACAATCCAAGAAGGAGGAATATGACAACAAAAAACCAAAATGAAATTAGTTACTTTACTTGAGTGTTTTACAAATAGCCTATTTACCCTTGCTGCCATCTGGTCCCGGTTATCTAACAGACGAACCTGGGGCTTAGGCTTTTTGGTATTGCTGAACATTGACTAAAATGACAATACAATATAGTCTTTGTGAATGACATAAGTTTAGCCAATCTAAATAATATCAGTTCATGAACAGTGTGCAGCTAATTTATTGGCAACTTGTACCAGTGAGAAAGGAGTGTTTTTCGCTATGCAGTTTTTTTTTGTTTTTTTTTTTTTAAGTGTGGTCAGTCACAGTTTCCTGACCAAAATTTGGTTTTATAATTTGAAAATTATTGACTAAAAAGATGGAAAATGAATTCTCCTCTGGGCAAAAGTTGCCAGCACTTTAGATTCAGGGAGCATTTATATATAATTGATTTTTTAAAAAATGCTTTCTCCCTAATAAATTATCATGTGTTATAACATGTCATGGAGATATGCATATATATTAGGCAGTCCACTTTATAAATGCTTGGAATTGTTATCATCTCAACAGTCTATTACTAAAAATAGTACCTTAAGATTATTTCCAATCATCCATTTTAATAGCAATAAAGAATTTATAAACGATATCTGAATTGTAGAACACTGTAAAGCATTTATAGCACAATTTATTTATTTGTCTTTTCATGGTCATATATCCTACTGTGATTACTCCAGTCATCCTGGACTATCTGTCATTTAGAATGACCAAAATTCACAGCACCAGACTTGTATCTCTGTGAGGTTCAGTCTGCAAGAGTTCTCCTGTGATTTGGTACTATCTACATACTTTTCATATCCCAGCTTTTTTTTATCATCAGTGTTTGTAAAAAATTTTCCCCTTTACATGCTGATCTACTGATGGAGAAAGATTTGTATTAAATGCTAACAACTGTAGGTATCTAGGAACAGAATTGTACTGGTCATGGTCAAAAGATTCTGGAAGGAGAAAAGGAAAATAAAGCAATAATGAGCATGACATTCTGTGTTAAAATATAACTGCATATTGGATTTCATACCTTTTGTAAAGATGCTCCTATTTCTACTCAAATTGTTTGTCCTAGCTTGCAGAAGTGAATATCTTACTATGAATGTGAACACAGTTCTTACTACAGAACATGGAAATGTTTTATATCAAAAAATTAAATGACACAAACTACATAAACCCTGAGTGTGCAGCATGCATTTTATGATTTATTCATGCACACAAACTTCTTACTGAATTCTCACTATGTGCTAGTCTTTGTGGAAGGAGTAAAAAATATACAAAAATGTGTGCATGTCTCAGAGTGTGTTTGACGTTACAAGTCACATGAAAAAAATGGAGTGATGTGTTTAGGCTAGCTGAGGAGAATCTGTATTATGCTGCATTAAACAAGCCTTTTTTTGTTTTATTTACCCTCAGAATTTCTTATTTTGTTAATGGGTATTTTGAGATTTTAGTGGAACAGCCTTTTGGAGAACCAGCCCATCTTGGTGTCTCCTATAACCTGTATAAGTTTGGGGAAATATTTTGGGTATTAAGAAAGTTTTCTAGCATCTCTACTGATGTTGTGACCAACGTCATGTTTTATCTTCCTGAGCCTGAAAAACAGAGAAGACAACAAAGTATAAAGTCAACAGTTTTGTAAAATCCTAAGAATAACGTTAAACAACCTCTTCCTTTATCTGTTAGTATGGACTTGAAGCTCCCCATCCTGTTTAAATGCATCTGTAGTTATTTGAAGAAAAAAATCACATTAGGGCATTTAGATCTGAAAGTTTAAAGGAACTCAGATTATTTACTCATAAAAATCCTTGAAAATATTTAAACTTGTGATTTTATAATATAGAAAATAATCTTATGAAAGACCTTTTAATATATTTTTAAAAATAAAATAAGGCCATTATATCATCTTATTGAATGCCTTATGCTACTGTTGGATTAATGGTCTGACTTTAAATATGGATCACACAAGAACTTCAAAAGCAAAGTCAACTTTTGGTGAGCAGTGATTTTTGTCAAAATTTTTTGGCCCCGTGTTTATATGGAATTAAATCCAAGGACCTGTCTCCTCTGAGGATTTTTTCCTATCTCTTGCAGTTACCAGAGCTTGAGTTGGAAATCAAAAGGAATGCTAAGGAAACACTAATACCTTGGTTTCTACATTTCAAAGACAGCATATGTTTTTCTTTTACTACTCCGTTGGCAGGATATCCTCAATTACATGTGATATGGGCTCCATTTGAGTTGTAGTTGGGCAGCCATATTGCTTGTAGCACTGGGACGTTGGAAGGCATAGACCTTATTCTGCAGTGGGCCTGATCCAAGATTTAATTTGAAGATTGACCTTTTTGGTTTAGTAATTTTGATTCTTCTGGCTGTCTTTCTCCTCAAACACACTAAACTTCCATTGAAGTTGTTGAAGGCCACAGAGGGGAGAAACACAGCTGGGAGAAATCTGGCTTGATATTTTTCCCATTGGCTAAGTCACATTATTTCCTTGACTAGAGTCTTACTTGAAGGTTGAAAACCAATTAGTTATATAACATTTTATGCACTCAGTTTCCCAGAACCACAAACTTTCCTTATTGTTATAGCTTACATAGTTTCATCAATAAAGAAATAAAAGCAATAGTTGTATAAAATCATATACATATAGCAAGCATTTAGATTTAAAGATTACATGTATAAAAAAACCTTTCTGCTTACCTAAGAAAACAGTTAAGCTTGTTTTTTATTTTTTTCTAATGCATTTTTTTCATTTTGATGCTCAATGGTGTGCAGAATATATTTAGTTACAGTGATTGTTGCATTTTCTGTAATCTATATTGAGTTTTGTAGTTAAATCACAGTATTTTAAATGAGACAAAATTCTCACATATAATGAATTGTCATATTTACTTACCAGAGCCTTTTTTAGGAGGGGATAAATACCTTAAATTGTTTTGCTCAGGATTTGTGCTTATAAACACCACTCACTGCACATCATTTGGTAGCCAAGAATGTGAATTAACATTGAGTAAGCAATTCCTTTTCAAAAATTTTTATTCCCCTTCCCCAAACTGTCCCAATATTTTCTCTCAATTTTAAACAACAAAACAGAAGTTGTGATTTTCATGGGCTTAAATTGAGGAAGCTGTTCTCATGAAAGCATCTGGTTTTCTTAGATCAAAACTAAACCATGAACTTTAACTGGAAAGCAAACTGGAGAGTTTGTATAAAGGGCATTTCATGTACCCAAGTATAATATAAAAATAGTTACTTCTTTCAACTTTTAGGTTCTCAAATGTTTAGCAATAGTAACATATCAACTTATCCTTATTTAGGAAAAGAAATCTAAACCATGAAGGATTCCATTTAGATTCATTTTCATACAAAATACAACACATCTAACTTAAGGCTAGGAAAAATCCTTACACCAGAAGCAGATTCTTAGATTCCAGGTCTCTGTTTATATTTCAGAGAAGTCATCCTTTTGATTTATAACGAAGTAAACCAATCTATTTTTCTCTAGTGAAATCAGCCCCACCTTCACAAACTAATCTGTTCTGCTCCATTTTAGCTTCTCTTGCTTTATCTATGCCTACACCCGCATCCTGCCTAAATCCAAGCCAGAAGCAAGTCACTGTACTCTACCAAATCAGCCTCTACCACTGACTTCTGAAGTCTGGTAACTATATAACACACAGTGGAGGGGCCTTCTGGGTTTTGTAGCACCTTCATTTCTTTGCAGAACCAGCTGATTAGGAAAGCCTTTTTATGCCATACCTCTGTGGTTACTCCTATGGTTGACACCCTAGGAATACTTCTGTGGCTTGGTATCTTCTTTTTCCCTAACACAGCTTGGCTCTTGACTTGGTGCAAATATGTGTGACAGTTGTGAATGTAGACTTGCCCTCCTTTTTCTTTACAGTAATATACTGGACTTCATATGACAATGTGTCATTTCCCTTTTTAAGGAAGAGAGAGAAAACAGTACATAATCTGATGACCCCCACATTTCATCCTGTGCTACTTTACATATTTGAAGTGGATCATGAAAAGTGAAATGCTACTATAGTCAAAAGGGAGCATACAGCGTTTATCACCTGTACCTCTAACAGATACTGTGGTTTAGGAAGCTAAGCTGAGCAACTGCCATTTTCTAGAATGGGTGCTCTGTTTTTCTCCAAATGGCAGATGTTAGACTGTCACGCTGTCTGTTTTCTGTCATCTTTCCATAGATCTCCATGGCTTGACACACTGGCATTTTTTATTCTTCCAGTAAAGCATTTTGACTGATGTTATTTAAATAAAGAACATAGGTTACAATTTATCCTTAGATATTAGAGCTCTGTATCACCTCAGCTGTTTACTTCATTGGAAATGCAGTAAAACACCAGAATAGTAGCTTAAAGTAGTTTTGTTTTTTAATGTGCTAAACTATCAACAGTTCATATGCTACAATTTTTAAGTAGGACAATATTCTGAAGAAAAGAGGGTTAATATATGTTCTTTAGTGTGTTATTAATTGACTCTGCCCTTTAAATTCTGATTTAACATTGTATTACAGTCACACTTGCTTTAAAGAAAAAGTATCAGGTTTTCTATTAAATTAATTTCTTTCTTTTTTTTTTTCTTTCTTGCAAGTTTTTCAACTGAGAATCAGGTATATTTATGAGTCAATGGAAGATATCAAGGAGGTTAAAATGGCTTTTAAAAGCCCAAGCCACTTGGCCAACAGGGTGAAAACTTACAACTTTGAGACAATACATCTTTCAGTGTCCTTGAAATACTGTATTTCTATTGGAAAGATCTCATCCCTCCTAGTGTCTCTTTTGATTTCCTTCTCTAGTAGCCAGCCAGTCATCTACTCAGAGGTCTTTGGAAGCAGCTATCCATCCTTTATTTGGGCCAGCCTAGAGCTAGAGTTCTGATCATTTGTCCTGTGCTAGTTTTTTGAGATATCAGGATAACGACAACCATACATAGTGAGGTTAATGCATGAAACCCTTAGGTTGTTTTTCTCAAGCTGTGAGCTGCTCTGTTAACCAGGTATGAAGGTCATTATGCTTCATCCCTGTATGATGATGGTACCCAGCTATTTTTAATATAGTAATTACATATACTTCATATATCAGAGAACATATTTGTATTTCTTTACCTTAGAGCCAAAAGAACAATCCCAAATGTGTGGACAGTGGCACACAGAATTTAAAATCTAAAGTTTTTAATAGTTGCCCTCTACAAGCTCCATAAGCTCCCCCCGCCACGTTGAGGCGAGTTATTGTCAGACCATACTGCATAACTTACTGTTGTCCCTAGGGCAGGAGTAATACTAGTTTAGATTTTGTTTGTCCGTTGTTGCTGAGCACTTAGAGGGATACGGGAATGAAGGATGGCAGGAGTTCTGTAAAATGATATGAACACAGAGGAAGCTGGGCTACCTTCAACAAATACACATTTTAAGCTTTTTACTGGAAACAAGATTGCAATAGCACTCAATCCTTTATTCGAGGCAGGGTTCTGGAAAG